TCTTCGGGCACTAAACTTAACCTCAAATTTAACCATGTTATGATTGCTACTGTCAAGTGGTTTAAATGTGACACACAACCTCAAATGAAAACAAGCAGTGAATATTTAACTTGATATAAGATGTTTGCACATGCGCACCACAGACAACGGTCAAGGACGTGAGTTTACATGCGGCAAACCGGGCAAGAACTGCAAATCAGGTAGCTACAGTGCACATGTGCAGCAACTGAGGAGCTGCAGGTCAGGTTATGACAGCCACAACCATTAACTAGGGATTTTGTAATGCAAAAAGACAGGAAAAGGCAGTGCCTAAATTTATTCATAAGCATTGTTTCCCTTTATGCTCAAGTATATGCAGGCATTTCTTGCAAGCCTCAGAGCAAATTTTATAGCAAAGAATTCCAAATGTAAAATAAGATGACTTGTTGAAGACCTAGTAGGGCCTCTGTATTTATTAAAGTAAATCATCACCAGAAATAATGCTTAGATGCCTTATAGCACTTACTAACTTTATAACAGGACAGCTGAAGTGTCCAAGGCAGAAAACAAAGTTTTAACAGCCATTTTTCCTTAATCTTAATATTCCTACTGATAGTGATGTAATACAATTTGAAGTAATTTATTACATCTTTTGTATCTTTTTGGTAAATAAGTTGGTGAACAAGTTGGTGCTGATAAACATCCTGAGTATGACAAATACTAAAGGTGCAGCCGTGCCTGGTGAAAGCCCTCAGGTCAAAACAGCAACTTCCTTTTTGAACTCTTTATTAGCTGTGATGCGTACGCAACGCAAACAGTGTACTGACTGTACCTGCACGCATAGTTTACGTCTATCTGGAGGATTAATGGTCATGTCCATCTGGGGGCAGTGCGAGAAAACCAGAGCTCATGCAAAAGTAGTGGTGGTAAACTTTAAACTAATGTTAAACATATACTAGATGATCCAGGAAAGGAGCAATCATTAAAATTGCACAGTTTGCTAAGTTTTGTTTCCTATAACTACATTAATGTTCTAGCAAAACGTAAACTCCACACTCCTGGCGAATTTTATCAACCACACATAGTGCCGTGACAGAAGGTGACCATACTGCCACCAGAATTTTTGGTGGTACTGCAATTCGCGCATGCATTGTGTTAATTTCTTACATAGGTGAAAAAACAGCACGTGGAATCAGAACTCAGAAAACGCGTGGCGGCCATGATGCATATGCAAACGCATTGTGAACGTCGAGTATAAATCAGCCCTTAGGCCTTAGGGTGAGGAGCTCAGACATTTGGGAGAAGCTCAAAGTAGGGCTGCTGCTCCTCCACATACAAAGGAATCATTTGAAGTGGTTCATGAATCTATCTAGGATGCCTCCTGGATTCCTCTCTGGGGAGGTGTTTCAGACATACCCAACTGGAAGGAAACCCCAGGGTAGGTCCAGGACACGCTGGCCTGGGAATGCCTTGGTATTCCCCAGGAAGAGCTGGAGGAGGTGGCTGGGGATAGGGAGGTCTGGCTATCTACACTTAGAGTGCTGCCCCTGCGGCCCGGCCCTGGATAAGCAGCAGATAATGGATGGATTGTGACAGTGATTTGGAAATTGCTCTTGATTGGGCTTTGATGGCAAAAAAAAACACAATGCAAAATGTCAATGGCTTTTGTCCTTACCAACTAGTTTTTGGACACAATTCTAACCTTAATTCTGTCCTTACTGACAGTCCACCTGCACTTGAGGGGACTACTGCGAGTGACTGGACATCAGTGCACATTCTTTCCACAGCAGACAGTGAAGAGAAAACGGAAAGGTACGATATGGACAACACTGAAGGCACAAGTGAGGTATAGAATGCTTCAGATGCTCAAGCAATGACACTAACAAGATTTCTCAGTCGTAAGGAAGGACAGATTGTTTGGTATGTTGACAGAGAGAATGGAAGTACTTAAACTGCTGAAATACTTGCTTGTGCAGAAAGGGCAACTGGAAAACTGAATAACTGGTACAACTTGAACCAGACAGTATTCCAAGATCCAGGATCAGCTGAATTGTCATGTGTGGACAATCTTTGCATTGTACCATTTGAGAACTCAGGTGCTCAAATCAATCAAGAGGAGAAAAATGTGCTTGTGATGGATGACAAATCCCTTGAAGCAGCAAAACTAGCTGAATGAAGGGGGCTGAATAATGATGTTTTTGAATAGGTAATAGATGTTAGCCAAAGTAACATTTCAACATGATGGTTCTGCACTATGAAAGAGACCTTAAATTGACAAAAGCACGACTATTGGGTAGTGGCTTTGAGTGGGAGGGCACGGGCTGGTGAAACCGCAGTGACCAACTTAAAACTAAAAGCTTATTGCTCAAAATATATCAATAAGGACTCAGAGTCCATAGATTCCTCTGTAAAATATTAGGAAAAAGTGTTGCCATTGAATTTAAAAAATCTCAGACTAAATACTG